ATGATGATGGTGGTGATGATGGTGTGATGGTGATGATGATGGTGGTGATGATGGTGTGATGGTGGTGATGATGATGGTGATGATGATGATGGTGTGATGATGATGATGGTGATGGTGGTGGTGATGGTGATGATGATGATGGTGATGATGATGATGGTGTGATGGTGATGGTGGTGGTGATGATGATGATGGTGTGATGATGATGATGGTGATGATGGTGTAATGGTGATGATGGTGATGATGATGGTGTGATGGTGATAGTGATGATGGTGATGGTGTGATGGTGTGATGGTGATGATGGTGGTGGTGATGATGATGGTGATGATGATGGTGATGATGGTGATGATGGTAGTGATGATGATGGTGTGATGGTGATGATGGTGGTGATGATGATGTGATGGTGATGATGTTGATGATGATGGTGATGATGGTGATGATGTTGGTGATGATATGATGGTGATGATGGTGTCATGATGGTGTGATGATAATGGTGTGATGGTGTGATGATGTCATGATGGTGTTATGATGGTGATGGTATTATGATAATGGTGTGATGGTGATGATATTGATGATGATGATGATGGTGTGATGGTGATGATGATGGTGATGATGATGGTATGATGATGGTGATGATGATGGTATGATGGTGATGACGATGGTGGTGATGATGATGATGGTGGTGATGATGTGATGGTGATGATGGTGATGATGGTGTGATGATAATGATGTGATGGTGGTGATGATGGTGATGATGGTGATGGTGTGATGGTGGTGGTGATGGTGTGATGGTGATGATGGTGATGATGGTGATGATGGTGGTGATGGTGATGGTGTGATGGTGATGATGATGGTGGTGATGTTGGTGGTGATGGTGGTGATGGTGGTGGTGATGGTGATGATGGTGGTGATGGTGATGATGGTGATGGTGGTGATGGTGATGATGGTGATGATGGTGGTGATGGTGGTGGTGGTGATGGTGATGATGGTGGTGGTGATGTGTTGATGGTGTGATGGTGGTGATGATGGTGTGATGGTGATGGTGGTCTGATGGTGTGATGGTGATGGTGGTCTGATGGTGTGATGGTGATGGTGGTCTGATGGTGTGATGATGGTGATGATGGTGATGATGGTGGTGTGATGATGATGGTGATGATGGTGGTGTGATGGTGATGATGGTGATGATGATGGTGGTGTGATGATGATGGTGGTGATGATGGTGTGATGGTGATGATGGTGTGATGGTGATGATGGTGTGATGATGATGGTGATGATGATGTGTTGATGGTGATGATGGTGTGATGGTGTTGACGTGGTCACGTGTCTCTTGCGACCATCCCACATAGTGGGCCGACACTGCCACCTGCTGGCAGAGAATCACAAACTCACAAACTCACTCAGAGACTCACTCATAGACTCACTCATAGACTCACTCACTTACTCATAGACTCACTCATAGACTCACTCACTCATAGACTCACTCATAGACTCACTCACTCAGAGACTCACTCATAGACTCACTCACTCATAGACTCACTCACAGACTCACTCACTCATAGACTCACTCATAGACTCACTCACTCATAGACTCATTCACTCATAGACTCACTCACTCATAGACTCACTCACTCACAGACTCACTCATAGACTCACTCATAGACTCACTCACTCATAGACTCACTCACTCATAGACTCACTCACTCATAGACTCACTCACTCACAGACTCACTCATAGACTCACTCATAGACTCATTCACTCACTCATAGACTCACTCATAGACTCACTCACTCATAGACTCACTCATAGACTCACTCACTCATAGACTCACTCACTCATAGACTCACTCATAGACTCACTCATAGACTATGTGTCTCTGTGTGTCTCTGTCTCTGTGTGTCTCACTGTGTGTGTCTCTCTCTGTGTGTGTGTCTCTCTGTGTCTCTCTCTCTCTGTGTGTCTCTCTGTGTGTGTCTCTCTGTGTGTGTCTCTCTGTGTGTCTCTCTCTGTGATGATGATGGTGATGATGATGGTGTGATGATGGTGATGGTGTGAGGGGTGATGGGGGTCACCCCGATCTGACGTCACGTGGGAGTTTTGAGCGATGTGCCCCCCCCCCATGCTCTGATTGATCTTCGTTTGGAAGTTCCACGTTGGCTTGGTGACGCCTCACACATCCAGCCTGCTACACGTGGCACACACTCGTGGGGGCGATGGTGATGATGGTGGTGATGGTGGTGATGATGGTGTGATGGTGATGATGGTGGTGATGATGGTGTGATGGTGGTGATGATGATGATGGTGGTGATGATGGTGTGATGGTGATGGTGGTGGTGATGGTGATGATGGTGATGATGATGATGGTGATGATGATGGTGTGATGGTGATGGTGGTGGTGATGGTGGTGGTGATGATGATGATGGTGTGATGATGATGATGGTGTGATGGTGATGGTGTGATGGTGATGATGATGGTGATGATGATGGTGATGATGGTGTAATGGTGATGATGGTGATGATGATGGTGATGATGATGATGGTGATGATGATGATGGTGTGATGGTGATGGTGGTGGTGATGGTGATGGTGGTGGTGATGATGATGATGATGGTGTGATGGTGATGATGATGGTGGTGATGATGGTGTGATGGTGGTGATGATGATGGTGATGATGATGATGGTGTGATGATGATGATGGTGATGGTGGTGGTGATGGTGATGATGATGATGGTGATGATGATGATGGTGTGATGGTGATGGTGGTGGTGATGATGATGATGGTGTGATGATGATGATGGTGATGATGGTGTAATGGTGATGATGGTGATGATGATGGTGTGATGGTGATAGTGATGATGGTGATGGTGTGATGGTGTGATGGTGATGATGGTGGTGGTGATGATGATGGTGATGATGATGGTGATGATGGTGATGATGGTAGTGATGATGATGGTGTGATGGTGATGATGGTGGTGATGATGATGTGATGGTGATGATGTTGATGATGATGGTGATGATGGTGATGATGTTGGTGATGATGATGATATGATGGTGATGATGGTGTCATGATGGTGTGATGATAATGGTGTGATGGTGTGATGATGTCATGATGGTGTTATGATGGTGATGGTATTATGATAATGGTGTGATGGTGATGATATTGATGATGATGATGATGGTGTGATGGTGATGATGATGGTGATGATGATGGTATGATGATGGTGATGATGATGGTATGATGGTGATGACGATGGTGGTGATGATGATGATGGTGGTGATGATGTGATGGTGATGATGGTGATGATGGTGTGATGATAATGATGTGATGGTGGTGATGATGGTGATGATGGTGATGGTGTGATGGTGGTGGTGATGGTGTGATGGTGATGATGGTGATGATGGTGATGATGGTGGTGATGGTGATGGTGTGATGGTGATGATGATGGTGGTGATGTTGGTGGTGATGGTGGTGATGGTGATGGTGATGATGGTGGTGATGGTGATGATGGTGATGGTGGTGATGGTGATGATGGTGATGATGGTGGTGATGGTGGTGGTGGTGATGGTGATGATGGTGGTGGTGATGTGTTGATGGTGTGATGGTGGTGATGATGGTGTGATGGTGATGGTGGTCTGATGGTGTGATGGTGATGGTGGTCTGATGGTGTGATGGTGATGGTGGTCTGATGGTGTGATGATGGTGATGATGGTGATGATGGTGGTGTGATGATGATGGTGATGATGGTGGTGTGATGGTGATGATGGTGATGATGATGGTGGTGTGATGATGATGGTGGTGATGATGGTGTGATGGTGATGATGGTGTGATGGTGATGATGGTGTGATGATGATGGTGATGATGATGTGTTGATGGTGATGATGGTGTGATGGTGTTGACGTGGTCACGTGTCTCTTGCGACCATCCCACATAGTGGGCCGACACTGCCACCTGCTGGCAGAGAATCACAAACTCACAAACTCACTCAGAGACTCACTCATAGACTCACTCATAGACTCACTCACTTACTCATAGACTCACTCATAGACTCACTCACTCATAGACTCACTCATAGACTCACTCACTCAGAGACTCACTCATAGACTCACTCACTCATAGACTCACTCACAGACTCACTCACTCATAGACTCACTCATAGACTCACTCACTCATAGACTCATTCACTCATAGACTCACTCACTCATAGACTCACTCACTCACAGACTCACTCATAGACTCACTCATAGACTCACTCACTCATAGACTCACTCACTCATAGACTCACTCACTCATAGACTCACTCACTCACAGACTCACTCATAGACTCACTCATAGACTCATTCACTCACTCATAGACTCACTCATAGACTCACTCACTCATAGACTCACTCATAGACTCACTCACTCATAGACTCACTCACTCATAGACTCACTCATAGACTCACTCATAGACTATGTGTCTCTGTGTGTCTCTGTCTCTGTGTGTCTCACTGTGTCTCTGTCTCTGTGTGTGTCTGTGTCTCTGTGTATCTCTGTGTGTCTCTGTCTGTCTCTGTGTGTCTCTGTGTCTCTGTCTGTCTCTGTGTCTCTGTGTCTGTCTCTGTGTGTCTCTCTGTGTGTCTCTGTGTGTGTCTGTGTCTCTGTGTGTGTCTGTGTCTCTGTGTGTGTCTGTGTGTCTCTGTGTCTCTGTCTGTCTCTGTCTCTGTGTCTCTGTCTCTGTGTGTCTCTCTGTGTGTCTCTGTGTGTGTCTGTGTTTCTCTGTGTGTGTCTGTGTGTCTGTGTCTCTGTGTGTGTCTGTGTGTCTGTGTGTGTCTGTGTCTCTGTGTCTCTGTGTGTGTCTGTGTCTCTGTGTGTGTCTCTGTGTGTGTCTGTGTCTCTGTGTGTGTCTGTGTGTCTCTGTGTGTCTCTGTGTCTCTGTGTGTGTCTGTGTGTCTCTGTGTGTGTCTGTGTCTCTGTGTGTGTGTCTGTGTCTCTGTGTGTGTCTGTGTCTCTGTGTGTGTCCACACAGCGGCCACAACTCCTCCATCCTGCACTACGGCCACGCGGGCGCTCCCAACGACCGCAAGATTCAAGACGGAGACATGTGGTGAGTGGTGAGTGGTGGTGAGTGGTGGTGAGTGGTGAGTGGTGGTGAGTGGTGGTGAGTGGTGGTGAGTGGTGAGTGGTGGTGAGTGGTGGTGAGTGGTGGTGAGTGGTGGTGAGTGGTGAGTGGTGGTGAGTGGTGGTGAGTTGTGGTGAGTGGTGAGTGGTGGTGAGTGGTGGTGAGTGGTGAGTGGTGGTGAGTGGTGGTGAGTGGTGGTGAGTGGTGGTGAGTGGTGAGTGGTGGTGAGTGGTGGTGAGTGGTGGTGAGTGGTGAGTGGTGGTGAGTGGTGGTGAGTGGTGGTGAGTGGTGAGGAGTGGTGGTGAGTGGTGGTGGGTGGTGAGTGGTGGTGAGTGGTGGTGAGTGGTTGTGAGTGGTGAGTGGTGGTGAGTGGTGGTGAGTGGTGGTGAGTGGTGAGGAGTGGTGAGTGGTGGTGAGTGGTGAGTGGTGGTGAGTGGTGAGTGGTGGTGAGTGGTGAGTGGTGGTGAGTGGTGGTGAGTAGTGAGTGGTGGTGAGTGGTGGTGAGTGGTGAGGAGTGGTGAGGAGTGGTGAGGAGTGGTGGTGAGTGGTGAGTGGTGGTGAGTGGTGAGTGGTGGTGAGTGGTGGTGAGTGGTGGTGAGTGGTGAGTGGTGGTGAGTGGTGATGAGTGGTGGTGAGTGGTGGTGAGTGGTGGTGGTGGTGAGTGGTGGTGAGTGGTGAGTGGTGGTGAGTGGTGGTGAGTGGTGGTGGTGGTGAGTGGTGGTGGTGAGTGGTGGTGAGTGGTGGTGAGTGGTGGTGAGTGGTGAGTGGTGGTGAGTGGTGAGTGGTGGTGAGTGGTGGTGAGTGGTGGTGAGTGGTGAGTGGTGGTGAGTGGTGGTGAGTGGTGAGTGGTGGTGAGTGGTGAGTGGTGGTGGTGGTGGTGAGTGGTGGTGAGTGGTGAGGAGTGGTGGTGAGTGGTGAGTGGTGGTGAGTGGTGGTGAGTGGTGAGGAGTGGTGAGTGGTGAGGAGTGGTGAGTGGTGGTGAGTGGTGGTGATTGGTTAGTGGTGGTGAGTGATGGTGAGTGGTGGTGAGTGGTGGTAAGTGGTGGTGAGTGGTGAGTGGTGGTGAGTGGTGGTGAGTGGTGAGTGGTGGTGAGTGGTGAGTGGTGGTGAGTGGTGGTGAGTGGTGAGTGGTGGTGAGTGGTGGTGAGTGGTGAGGAGTGGTGGTGAGTGGTGAGTGGTGGTGAGTGGTGGTGAGTGGTGGTGATTGGTGGTGAGTGGTGGTGAGTGGTGGTGAGTGGTGAGTGGTGGTGAGTGGTGGTGAGTGGTGAGGAGTGGTGAGGAGTGGTGAGTGGTGGTGAGTGGTGGTGAGTGGTGGTGAGTGGTGAGGAGTGGTGAGGAGTGGTGAGGAGTGGTGAGTGGTGGTGAGTGGTGGTGAGTGGTGGTGAGTGGTGAGTGGTGGTGAGTGGTGGTGAGTGGTGGTAAGTGGTGAGTGGTGGTGAGTGGTGGTGAGTGGTGGTGAGTGGTGAGTGGTGGTGAGTGGTGGTGAGTGGTGGTGGTGGTGAGTGGTGGTGAGTGGTGGTGGGTGGTGAGGAGTGGTGGTGAGTGGTGAGTGGTGGTGAGTGGTGGTGAGTGGTGGTGAGTAGTGAGTGGTGGTGAGTGGTGGTGAGTGGTGAGTGGTGGTGTGTGGTGGTGAGTGGTGGTGAGTGGTGAGTGGTGGTGAGTGGTGAGTGGTGGTGAGTGGTGGTGGTGGTGAGTGGTGGTGAGTGGTGGTGAGTGGTGGTGAGTGGTGAGTGGTGGTGAGTGGTGGTGAGTGGTGAGTGGTGGTGAGTGGTGGTGAGTGGTGGTGGTGGTGAGTGGTGGTGAGTGGTGGTGAGTGGTGGTGGTGGTGAGTGGTGGTGAGTGGTGGTGGTGAGTGGTGGTGAGTGGTGGTGAGTGGTGGTGAGTTGTGGTGAGTGGTGGTGAGTGGTGGTGAGTGGTGGTGGTGGTGAGTGGTGGTGAGTGGTGAGTGGTGGTGAGTGGTGGTGAGTGGTGAGTGGTGGTGAGTGGTGGTGAGTGGTGGTGAGTGTGGTGAGTGGTGGTGAGTGTGGTGAGTGGTGGTGAGTGGTGAGTGGTGGTGAGTGGTGAGTGGTGGTGAGGAGTGGTGAGTGGTGGTGAGTGGTGGTGAGTGGTGAGTGGTGGTGAGTGGTGAGTGGTGGTGAGTGGTGGTGAGTGGTGGTGAGTGGTGGTGAGTGGTGAGGAGTGGTGGTGAGTGGTGAGTGGTGGTGAGTGGTGGTGAGTGGTGGTGAGTAGTGAGTGGTGGTGAGTGGTGGTGAGTGGTGAGTGGTGGTGAGTGGTGGTGAGTGGTGGTGAGTGGTGAGTGGTGGTGAGTGGTGGTGGTGGTGAGTGGTGGTGAGTGGTGGTGAGTGGTGGTGAGTGGTGAGTGGTGGTGAGTGGTGGTGAGTGGTGGTGGTGGTGAGTGGTGGTGAGTGGTAGTGGTGGTGAGTGGTGGTGAGTGGTGGTGGTGGTGAGTGGTGGTGAGTGGTGGTGAGTGGTGGTGAGTGGTGGTGGTGAGTGGTGGTGAGTGGTGGTGAGTTGTGGTGAGTGGTGGTGAGTGGTGGTGAGTGGTGGTGGTGGTGAGTGGTGGTGAGTGGTGGTGAGTGGTGAGTGGTGGTGAGTGGTGGTGAGTGGTGAGTGGTGGTGAGTGGTGGTGAGTGGTGGTGAGTGTGGTGAGTGGTGGTGAGTGTGGTGAGTGGTGGTGAGTGGTGAGTGGTGGTGAGGAGTGGTGAGTGGTGGTGAGTGGTGGTGAGTGGTGAATGGTGGTGAGTGGTGAGTGGTGGTGAGTGGTGGTGAGTGGTGGTGAGTGGTGGTGAGTGGTGGTGAGTAGTGAGTGGTGGTGAGTGGTGGTGAGTGGTGAGTGGTGGTGAGTGGTGGTGAGGGGTGGTGGGTGAGTGAGTGTGTGGGTGAGTGAGTGAGCGAGTGAGTGAGTGGGTGAGTGAGCGAGCGAGTGAGTGAGTGATTGGGTGAGTAAGTGGGTGAGTGAGTGTGTGGGTGAGTGAATGAGTGAGTGGGTGAGCGAGTGAGTGAGTGAGTGAGCGAGTGAGTGAGTGGGCGAGTGAGTGGGTGGGTGAGTGCGTGAGTGGGTGAGTGAGTGGGTGAGTGAGTGAGCGAGTGAGTGAGCGAGTGAGTGAGTGAGTGAGCGAGTTAGTGAGTGTGTGGGTGAGTGGGTGAGTGAGTGGGTGAGTGAGTGTGTGGGTGAGTGAATGAGTGAGTGGGTGAGCGAGTGCGTGAGTGGGTGAGTGAGTGAGTGGGTGAGTGAGTGAGTGAGTGGGTGAGTGAGTGAGCGAGTGAGCGAGTGAGTGAGTGGGTGAGTGAGTGAGCGAGTGAGTGAGTGGGTGAGTGAGTGAGCGAGTGAGTGAGTGGGTGAGTGAGTGAGCGAGTGAGTGAGTAGATGAGTGAGTGAGCGAGTGAGTGAGTGGGTGAGTGAGTGAGCGAGTGAGTGAGTGGGTGAGTGAGTGAGCGAGCGAGTGATTGGGTGAGTAAGTGGGTGAGTGAGTGTGTGGGTGAGTGAATGAGTGAGTGGGTGAGCGAGTGAGTGAGTGAGTGAGCGAGTGAGTGAGTGGGCGAGTGAGTGGGTGGGTGAGTGCGTGAGTGGGTGAGTGAGTGGGTGAGTGAGTGAGTGAGTGAGCGAGTGAGTGAGTGAGTGAGCGAGTGAGTGAGTGTGTGGGTGAGTGGGTGAGTGAGTGGGTGAGTGAGTGTGTGGGTGAGTGAATGAGTGAGTGGGTGAGCGAGTGCGTGAGTGGGTGAGTGAGTGAGTGGGTGAGTGAGTGAGTGAGTGGGTGAGTGAGTGAGCGAGTGAGCGAGTGAGTGAGTGGGTGAGTGAGTGAGCGAGTGAGTGAGTGGGTGAGTGAGTGAGCGAGTGAGTGAGTGGGTGAGTGAGTGAGCGAGTGAGTGAGTAGATGAGTGAGTGAGCGAGTGAGTGTGTGGTGAGTGAGTGAGTGAGCGAGTGTGTGAGTGAGTGAGCGAGTGAGTGAGTGTGTGGGTGAGTGAGTGAGTGAGCGAGTGGGTGAGTGAGTGAGCGAGTGAGTGAGTAGGTGAGTGAGTGAGCGAGTGATTGGGTGACCACTGTCTTCTCTCCCCGCCCTCGCGTTGTGCTCCCACTACCACCTCCACCACCAACACCACCACTACCAACACAACCCCCGCCACCACCACCACCACCTCCACCACCACCATCACCACCACCACCTCCACCACCACCAACACCACCACTACCAACACAACCCCCGCCACCACCACCACCTCCACCACCACCACCACCACCACCACCCCCACCACCACCACCCCCACCACCACCACCTCCACCACCACTACTAACACAACCCCCGCCACCACCACCACCACCTCCACCACCACCATCACCACCACCACCAACACCACCACTACCAACACAACCCCCGCCACCACCACCACCTCCACCACCACCACCACCACCACCCCCACTACCACCACCACCACCACCCCCACCACCACCACCACCACCACCCCCACCACCACCACCACCTCCACCACCACCACCACCACCACCCCCACCACCACCACCACCACCACCCCCACCTCAGCCTGTTCGACATGGGTGGTGAGTACTGCTGCTATGCGTCTGACATCACGTGCTCCTTCCCGGCCAGCGGTCGCTTCAGCGCCGACCAGCGCAGCATCTACAACGCCGTACTGGCGGCGTCACGAGCCGTCATCGCGGCCGCGAGGCCTGGTGGGTGCTGATCGTGGTGATCGTGGTGATCGTGGTGATCGTGGTGGTGGAGGTGGTGGTGGTGGGGGTGGTGGTGGTGGGGTGGTGGTGGTGATCGTGGTGGGTGGTGGTGGTGATCGTGGTGGGTGGTGATCATGGTGGTGGTGGTGTGGTGATGGTGATCGTGGTGGTGGTGGTGGTGATCGTGGTGGGTGGTGGTGGTGCTGGTGGTGGTGGTGATCTTGGTGGTGATCGTGGTGGTGATCGTGGTGGTGGTGGTGATCGTGGTGGGTGGTGGTGGTGATCGTGGTGGGTGGTGGTAGTGGTGATCGTGGTGGTGTGGTGGTGGTGATCGTGGTGGTAGTGGTGATCGTGGTGGTGTGGTGGTGGTGATCGTGGTGGTGGTGGTGATCGTGGTGGTGGTGGTGGTGATCGTGGTGGTGGTGGTGGGGGTGGTGGTGATCGTGGTGGTGGTGGTGGGGGTTCTGCGAGGGGACTGGTTACCCCTCCACCTTCAATTAACTACAACCAAACTACGATTGAAAATTTTAATTAAGTTTGTGTCGGAGGCCCCGGGGGGGCCAGGCGTCTATGACGTCCCCTGGCCAAACCCCAATTGGCGGAGCCAGGAGATTGAATCTCTACCCTCGGGGCTCCTCCAGAAACAACGAAAAGCCACTACGGGTGGCCACGTGGAATGTTCGGACGATCACTGCGGAGGAGAGGCTGCCACTCCTTTGTCGGGAGCTGGACCGGTACCGCCTGGATCTCTGTGGTATTCAGGAGGTCCGGTGGACCGGCTCTGGCTCCTGCCACCATGAGGGGTGGACAGTCCTCTACTCGGGGCAGGAGACTGCCAAACAACAGGGAATGGCTGTCCGAATCAGTCGATGACTGGTACCAGCAGTGTCAAGATCGGCCTCTGTGGAGGAGGCTCGTGAAGGACGCTGCTACTGGGCAGTTGGAGGCAGTCGCCCTCCAACAACAATGGAGGGCGGAGGAGCGACGCTCACAACAACGAGCGGAGCGCCGGGTGGCTAAAGCACAGGTTGGCACAGTAGGGGGCACAGGTGGTGCATCAGCCAGTCATCTCAGTCAGTCGACCCGTGGCACCTGGGTCTGCCCCGTGACCTCCTGCCAGTGGGCGTTCGACACTTCACGTGGCCTCAGGGTACACATAGCCTGGCACAAGCGTCGTGGTGACGTCACCGCCACTTAGTGGCGAATGGCGGTTGTTGTTGTTATTGTTGTGTCTGTGTGTGTGTCTGTGTGTGTGTCTGTGTGTGTGTCTTTGTGTGTGTCTCTGTGTGTGTCTCTCTGTGTGTGTCTCTGTGTGTGTGTATTTCTGTGTCTCGCTATGTGTCTCTGTGTGTGTCTCTGTGTCTCTCTGTGTGTGTCTGTGTGTCTCTGTGTGTGTCTGTGTGTGCGTCTGTGTGTGTGTCTCTGTGTGTGTCTCTGTGTGTGTCTCTGTGTGTGTCTCTGTGTGTGTCTCTGTGTGTCTCTGTGACTCTCTGTGTCTCTACGTAGGGGTCTCGTGGGTGGATCTCCACCGCCTGGCCGAGCGAGTCCAACTCACGACGCTGCTGTGTCTGTGTGTCTCTGTGTGTCTCTGTGTGTGTCTCTGTGTGTGTCTGTGTGTGTCTGTGTGTGTCTGTGTGTGTGTGTCTGTGTGTGTCTCTGTGTGTGTCTCTGTGTGTGTGTGTGTGTCTGTGTGTGTGTCTTTTCTGTCTGTGTGTGTCTCTGTGACTCTCTGTGTGTGTGTGACTCTCTGTGTGTGTCTATGCAGGGGTCTCGTGGGTGGATCTCCACCACCTGGCCGAGCGAGTCCAACTTACAGCGCTGCTGTGTCTGTGTGTCTCTGTGTCTCTGTGTGTGTGTGTCTCTGTCTGTGTGTCTCTGTGACTCTCTGTGTGTGTGTCTGTGTGTGTCTGTGTGACTCTCTGTGTGTGTCTCTGTGTGTCTCTACGTAGGGGTCTCGTGGGTGGATCTCCACCGGCTGGCCGAGCGAGTCCAACTTACAGCGCTGCTGTGTCTGTGTGTCTGTGTGTGTCTCTGTCTGTGTGTCTCTGTGACTCTGTGTGTGTGTCTGTGTGACTCTCTGTGTGCCTCTACGTAGGGGTCTCGTGGGTGGATCTCCACCGCCTGGCCGAGCGAGTCCAACTCACGGCGCTGTGTGACTCCCTGTCTCTGTGTCTGTGTGTCTCTGTATGTGTTTGTGTGTGTCTCTGTGTGTGTGTGTCTCTGTGTGTGTCTGTGTGTGTGTGTCTGTGTGTGTGTCTCTGTGTGTGTGTGTCTGTGTGTGTGTGTCTCTGTGACTCTGTGTGTGTCTATGCAGGGTTCTCGTGGGTGGATCTCCACCGCCTGGCCGAGCGAGTCCAACTCACGGCGTTGCTGTGTCTGTGTGTGTGTGTCTCTGTGTGTGTGTGTCTGTGTGTGTCTGTGTGTGTGTCTCTGTGACTCTGTGTGTGTGTGTCTCTGTGACTCTCTGTGTGTCTATGCAGGGGTCTCGTGGGTGGATCTCCACCGCCTGGCCGAGCGAGTCCAACTCACGGCGCTGCCTGACTCCCTGTCTCTGTGTCTGTGTGTCTCTGTGTGTGTCTCTGTGTGTGTGTCTCTGTGTCTGTGTGTCTCTGTGTGTGTCTGTGTGTGTCTGTGTGTGTGTGTGTCTGTGTGTGTGTCTGTGTGTGTGTCTCTGTGTGTGTCTCTGTGACTCTATGTGTGTGTCTCTGTGACTCTGTGTGTGTGTCTCTGTGACTCTGTGTGTGTCTACGTAGGGGTCTCGTGGGTGGATCTCCACCGCCTGGCCGAGCGAGTCCAACTGACGGCGCTGCTGTGTCTGTGTGTCTCTGTCTCTGTGTGTGTGTGTCTGTGTGTGTCTGTGTGTGTGTCTCTGTGTGTCTCTGTGTGTGTGTCTGTGTGTCTGTGTGTTTGTCTGTGTGTGTGTCTCTGTGTGTGTGTCTGTGTGTGTGTCTGTGTGTGTGTCTCTGTGTGTGTGTCTCTGTGACTCTGTGTGTGTGTCTCTGTGACTCTGTGTGTGTCTATGCAGGGGTCTCGTGGGTGGATCTCCACCGCCTGGCTGAACGAGTCCAACTCACGGCGCTGCCTGACTCCCTGTCTCTGTGTCTCTCTGTGTGTGTCTCTGTGTGTGTCTCTGTGTCTCTGTGTGTGTTTTGTGTGTGTCTCTGTGTGTGTCTCTGTGACTCTCTGTGTGTGTGTCTCTGTGTGCGTCTGTGTGTGTGTCTGTGTGTGTCTCTGTGTCTCTGTGTGTGTGTGTGTCTGTATGTGTGTGACTCTCTGTGTGTCTATGCAGGGGTCTCGTGGGTGGATCTCCACCGGCTGGCCGAGCGAGTCCAACTCACGGCGCTGCATGACTCCCTGTCTCTGTGTCTGTGTGTCTGTGTGTGTGTTTGTGTCTCTGTGTGTGTTTGTGTGTCTCTGTGTTTGTGTGTCTCTGTGTCTGTGTGTCTCTGTGTGTGTCTGTGTGTGTGTCTGTGTGTCTCTGTGTGTGTCTGTGTGTGTGTCTGTGTGTGTCTGTGTGTGTGTCTGTGTGTCTCTGTGTGTGTCTCTGTGACTCTCTGTGTGTGTCTCTGTGTGTGTCTGTGTGTGTCTGTGTGTGTGTCTGTGTGTGTGTCTGTGTGTGTCTCTGTGTGTGTGTGTGTGTCTGTATGTGTGTGACTCTCTGTGTGTCTATGCAGGGGTCTCGTGGGTGGATCTCCACCGCCTGGCCGAGTGAGTCCAGCTCACGGCGCTGCATGACTCCCTGTCTCTGTGTCTGTGTGTCTCTGTGTGTGTTTGTGTGTGTGTCTGTGTGTGTGTCTCTGTGTCTGTGTGTCTCTGTGTGTGTCTGTCTGTGTGTCTCTGTGTGTGTGTGTCTGTGTCTCTGTGTGTGTGTCTCTGTGACTCTGTGTGTGTCTCTGTGTGTGTGTGTGTCTCTGTGACTCTCTGTGTATCTCTACGTAGGGGTCTCGTGGGTGGATCTCCACCGGCTGGCCGAGCGAGTCCAACTGACAGCGCTGCGTGACTCCCTGTCTCTGTGTCTGTGTGTCTATGTGTGTGTTTGTGTGTCTCTGTGTTTGTGTGTCTCTGTGTCTGTGTGTCTCTGTGTGTGTCTGTGTGTGTGTGTCTGTGTGTGTGTGTGTCTGTGTGTGTGTCTGTGTGTGTGTGTGTGTCTACGTAGGGGTCTCGTGGGTGGATCTCCACCGGCTGGCCGAGCGAGTCCAACACACGGCGCTGCTGTGTCTGTGTGTCTCTGTCTCTGTGTCTCTGTGTGTGTGTCTGTGTGTCTCTGTGTGTGTCTCTGTGACTCTCTGTGTGTGTCTCTGTGTGTGTCTGTGTGTGTGTCTGTGTGTCTCTGTGTGTGTCTGTGTGTGTGTCTGTGTGTGTGTCTGTGTGTGTCTGTGTGTGTGTCTGTGTGTCTCTGTGTGTGTCTCTGTGACTCTCTGTGTGTGTCTCTGTGTGTGTCTGTGTGTCTCTGTGTGTCTCTGTGACTCTCTGTGTGTGTCTCTGTGTGTGTCTGTGTGTGTCTGTGTGTGTGTCTGTGTGTGTCTGTGTGTGTCTCTGTGTGTGTGTGTGTGTCTCTGTGACTCTCTGTGTGTGTCTATGCAGGGGTCTCGTGGGTGGATCTCCACCGCCTGGCCGAGCGAGTCCAGCTGACGGCGCTGCTGTGTCTGTGTGTGTCTGTGTGTGTGTCTCTGTGTCTGTGTGTCTCTGTGTGTGTCTGTCTGTGTGTCTCTGTGTGTGTGTGTCTGTGTCTCTGTCTGTGTGTCTCTGTGACTCTGTGTGTGTCTCTGTGTGTGTGTGTGTCTCTGTGACTCTCTGTGTATCTCTACGTAGGGGTCTCGTGGGTGGATCTCCACCGGCTGGCCGAACGAGTCCAGCTGACGGCGCTGCTGTGTCTGTGTGTGTCTGTGTGTGTGTCTCTGTGTCTGTGTGTCTCTGTGTGTGTCTGTCTGTGTGTCTCTGTGTGTGTGTGTCTGTGTCTCTGTGTGTGTCTCTGTGTGTGTGTGTGTCTCTGTGACTCTCTGTGTATCTCTACGTAGGGGTCTCGTGGGTGGATCTCCACCGCCTGGCCGAGCGAGTCCAACTGATGGCGCTGCTGTGTCTGTGTGTGTGTCTCTGTGTGTGTGTGTCTGTGTGTCTGTGTGTGTGTCTCTGTGACTCTGTGTGTGTCTATGCAGGGGTCTCGTGGGTGGATCTCCACCGCCTGGCCGAGCGAGTCCAGCTGACGGCGCTGCGTGACGCCGGGCTGCTGCAAGGCGACGTGGAGGCCATGGAGGCCGCCGGGCTGTGCGCCACCTTCATGCCGCACGGCCTGGGACACCTCCTGGGCTGTGACGTGCACGACGTGGGGGGGTACCCAGAGGTGGGTGGGGCTATCACCGTCATCACCACCATCGTCATCACCACCACCGTCATCACCACCATCATCATCATCACCACCATCGTCATCACCGTCATCACCACCATCATCACCACCGTCGTCATCACCACCGTCGTCATCACCACCGTCATCACCACCGTCATCACCACCATCGTCATCACCGTCATCACCACCGTCATCACCACCATCGTCATCACCACCATCGTCATCACCACCGTCATCACCACCGTCATCACCACCATCGTCATCACCATCGTCGTCACCACCACCGTCATCACCATCGTCATCACCACCACCATCATCACCACCATCATCACCACCGTCATCACCACCATCGTCATCACCACCGTCATCACCACCGTCATCACCACCATCGTCATCACCACCGTCATCACCACCGTCATCACCACCATCGTCATCACCACCACTGTCATCATCACCACCGTCGTCACCACCACCGTCATCACCACCACCGTCATCACCACCACCGTCATCACCACCATCGTCACCCCCGTCATCGTCATCACCACCGTCATCACCACCATCGTCATCACCATCGTCATCACCACCGTCATCACCACCATCGTCATCACCACCGTCATCATCACCACCATCATCACCACCGTCATCACCACCATCGTCATCACCACCATCATCACCACCATCGTCATCACCATCGTCATCACCACCGTCATCACCACCATCGTCATCACCACCGTCATCATCACCACCATCATCACCACCATCATCACCACCATCGTCATCACCACCGTCATCACCACCACCGTCATCACCACCACCGTCATCACCACCACCACCACCATCACCACCATCAGCACCAACAACCATGTTCGCCACTAAGTGACGGTGCCGTTACCACGGCGCCTGTTTTGTGTGTCTACGTGTGTGTCTGTGTCTACGTGTGTGTCTGTGTGTACGTGTGTGTGTCTGTGTCTGTGTGTGTGTCTACGTGTGTGTATGTGTGTACGTGTGTACGTGTGTGTGTGTGTACGTGTGTGTGTCTGTGTCTACGTGTGTGTGTGTACGTGTGTGTGTACGTGTGTGTGTCTGTGTCTACGTGTGTGTGTGTACGTGTGTGTGTACGTGTGTGTGTCTGTGTCTACGTGTGTGTGTGTGTACGTGTGTGTGTGTGTACGCGTGTGTGTGTGTGTCTGTCTACGTGTGTGTGTGTCTACGTGTGTCTAAGTGTGTGTGTGTGTGTACGTGTGTGTGTGTATACGTGTGTGTGTGTGTCTGTGTGTGTGTGTGTCTGTGTGTGTGTGTGTCTGTGTGTGTGTGTCTGTGTGTGTGTGTCTGTGTGTGTCTGTGTGTGTGTATGTCTGTGTGTGTGTGTGTGTCTGTGTGTCTGTGTCTGTGTGTGTGTCTGTGTGTGTCTACGCAGGGAGTGGAGCGACCCAGCGGTGAAGGGGTGCGCTCCCTGCGCACGGCTCGCGCCCTGTCCCAGGGCATGGTGCTCACCGTGGAGCCCGGCCTCTACTTCATCCCACACCTGCTGCAGCAGGCACGCCAAGACCCTCGCCTCGCCCCCTTCCTCGTGCACGACGAACTCCGCAGATTCCACCACTTCGGGGGGGTGAGGTGGGGGGGAGGGGCTGGGGGGGGGGGAGGGGCTGGGGGGGGGTGGGGGGAGGGGGTAGGGGGAGGGGTTGGGGGCTGTGTGTGGGTCATCATCACCTCATCGTTGCCATCGTTACACTCCTCCATACCACCAACACCATCACCACCATCATCACCACCACCATCATCACCACCACCATCATCATCATCATCACCATCACCACCACCACCATCATCATCACCACCACCTTCATCATCACCACCACCATCGCCACCACCATCATCACCATCATCATCACCATCATCATCACCACCATCATCACCACCACCACCATCATCATCATCATCACCACCACCTTCATCATCATCACCACCACCATCATCATCACCACCATCTTCATCATCACCACCACCATCATCATCACCACCATCTTCATCATCACCACCATCTTCATCATCACCACCATCATCACCACCACCACCATCACCACCACCACCATCATCACCATCATCATCACCATCATCACCATCATCATCACCATCATCATCATCACCATCATCATCATCACCATCATCATCACCACCACCATCACCACCATCATCATCATCACCATCATCTTCATCATCACCACCATCATCATTATCACCAACACCATCATCACCACCACCATCATCACCATCATCATCATCACCAACACCATCATCATCATCACCACCATCATCATCACCATCATCACCACTCACCATCACCACCATCATCATCACCATCATCACCACCATCATCATCACCATCATCATCACCACCACCATCATCACCATCATCACCACCATCACCACCACCATCATCACCACCACCATCATCACCACCACCATCACCACCACCATCATCACCACCATCACCACCATCATCATCACCATCATCACCATCATCATCAAATGCTCAGGAAATCTGCAAACCTGTTCCTGGGGGTCGGAGATTGGATCACCGTTTTTTCCCCCTAATGATGGTAATAGGTGTGGCGCTGCAGGTTACTTTTTTGATGGAGTTAAATCATCATCACCACCACCATAATCATCATCACCACCACCATCATCACCACCACCATCATCATCACCACCATCATCATCACCACCACCATCACCACCATCACCACCACCATCATCATCACCACTACCACCACCATCACCACCATCATCACCACCACCATCATCACCACCACCATCATCACCACCATCACCACCATCACCACCACCACCATCACCACCATCATCACCATCACCACCACCATCATCACCACCATCACCACCATCATCACCACCACCACCATCATCACCACCATCACCACCACCATCATCACCACCATCACCACCACAATCATTACCACCACCATCATCAGCACCACCACCCTTCACTCCCCACTCTCCCCCCCTCCACCAATCTCCCCCCACTCTCCCCCCCACTCCCCCCCCCCACCAATCTCCCCCCACCGCCCCAGGTGCGTATCGAGGACAACGTTGTGGTGACGGCTGACGGCGTGGAGGTCCTCACCTGTGTCCCACGCTCTGTGGAAGACATCGAGGCGCTGATGGCGCTGGGACGAGACCAGGAGGCCGAGGGGGGGAGGGACGTGGCCCAGGCTAAGGGGGGTGAGGGGGCACATTAGTGTTGGTGGTGGTGGTGGTTGTGGTGGTGGTGGTAGTGGTTGTGGTGGTGGTGGTGGTTGTGGTGGTGGTGGTAGTAGTGGTGGTAGTGGTGGTGGTGGTGGTGAGTGGTGGTGGTTGTGGTGGTGGTGGTGGTGCTGATGGTTGTGGTGGTGGTTGTGGTGGTGGTGGTAGTAGTGGTGGTAGTGGTGGTGGTGGTGGTGAGTGGTGGTGGTTGTGGTGGTGGTGGTGGTGCTGATGGTTGTGGTGGTGGTTGTGGTGGTGGTGGTAGTAGTGGTGGTAGTGGTGGTGGTTGTGGTGGTGGTTGTGGTGGTGGTGGTGGTTGTGGTGGTGGTTGTGGTGGTGGTGGTGGTTGTGGTGGTTGTGGTGGTGGTGGTTGTGGTGGTGGTGGTGGTAGTGGTGGTGGTGGTGGTTGTGGTGCTGATGGTTGTGGTGGTGGTTGTGGTGGTAGTAGTGGTGGTAGTGGTGTGGTGGTGGTTGTGGTCGTGGTGGTGGTGGTGGTAGTGGTGGTAGTGGTGGTGGTGGTAGTGGTGGTAGTGGTGGTGGTAGTGGTGGTGGTGGTGGTTGTGGTGGTGGTGGTTGTGGTGGTGGTGGTTGTGGTGGTTGTGGTGGTGGTGGTGGTTGTGGTGGTTGTGGTGGTGAGTGGTGGTAGTGGTGGTGGTGGTTGTGGTGCTGATGGTTGTGGTGGTGATGATGATGATGGTGATTGTGATGATGGTGATTGTGATGATGATGATGGTGATGATGATGGTGGGGGTGATGATGATGATGATGGTTGTGGTGGTGGTTGTGGTGGTTGTGGTGGTGGTTGTGGTGGTGGTGGTTGTGGTGGTGGTTGTGGTGGTTGTAGTGGTGGTGGTGGTGGTTGTGGTGGTGGTTGTGGTGAGTGGTGGTGGTTGTGATGGTTGTGGTGGTGATGATGATGATGGTGATTGTGATGATGATGGTGATTGTGATGATGATTGTGATGATGATGATGGTGATGATGGTGGTGGTGGTGGGGGTGATGATGATGATGGTGGTGGTGGTTGTGGTGGTGGTGGTGGTGGTTGTGGTGGTTGTGGTGAGTGGTGGTGGTTGTGGTGGTGATGGTGGTTGTGGTGAGTGGTGGTGGTGGTGGTGGTGATGATGACGATGGTGGTGGTGACGATGATGATGGTGGTGGTGGTTGTTGTGGTGGTGGTGTTTGTGGTGATGATGGTGGTTGTTGTGGTGGTGGTGTTTGTGGTGATGATAATGGTGATGATGGTGATTGTGATGATGATGATGGTGGTGATGGTGGTGGTGGTGATAGTGATGATGGTGGTGATGGTGATGATGGTGGTGAAGGTGATGATGGTGGTGATGGTGATGATGGTGGTGATGGTGATGATGGTGGTGGTGATGGTGATGATGGTATTGATGATGATGATGGTGGTATTGGTGGTGATGGTGGTGATGGTGGTAATGGTGATGATGATGATGGTGGTATCCACGACTTGCATTCACAACAGCGTTGATTGATATCAGCCGATGACGATTTCATGATAATCGATAGCAAGACCGTAATCACAATGTGATGATGATGATGGTGGTGATGGTGATATTGATTTGGTGCGAGATCGATGGATTTTATATTCTTTACGATTGAGAAAATTGTTCAATAAATCAATCAATTTGCAAATAGTGAGTGTCTCTGTATTGAGTGAGTGGTGTGGTAGCCACTGGGGAGACAAAGGCGGCCGGGCGTGGTGCTGGCCACCCACCCCCTCGTGTTCCACAGTTCCGCGAGCCTTCATAGGGGCTGCTACTCACAGCACTTGCCCCTACAGCCCTGCTAGAGGCTACACGGGGGACCTTTGTCTGTGTGCCCCTCCCCTCTCACCCCACGAGCCCCTCCCCTTACCCCCCCAGCCCCTCCCCTCACCATGAACTCGCTTCGCCTCTCACCCCTCTCTTGCCCCTCCCCTTACCACCCCAAGCCCCTCCCTCACCCCTCTCAGCCCCTCCCCTTACCCCCCAAGCCCCTCCCCCACCCCTCTCAGCCCCTCCCCTTACCCCCCCCCCAAGCCCCTCCCCCGCTTCCCTCAGCCCCTCCCCCCAGAACCCCCCCCCAGCCCCTCCCCTCAATTAACCCGCGTCGCCTACTGCTGATTTGTCGGTGAGGCAAAGACAAAGCTCCCCCAAATAGCCTCGCACATACAGGGGCAAGTGCTGAGTATCACCACAGAGACAAAGCTCCCCCAGGTAGCCTCGCACAGACCACAGGGGCAAGTGCTGAGTATCACCACAAAGACAAAGCTCCCCCAGGTAGCCTCGCACAGACCACAGGGGCAAGTGCTGAGTAGGAACACAAAGACAAAGCTCCCCCAGGTAGTCTCGCACAGACTCTAGGGGGCAAGTGCTGAGTATCACAACAAAGACAAAGCTCCCCCAGGTAGCGTTGCACAGACTCTAGGGGCAAGTGCTTAGTAGCACCACAAAGACAAAGCTCCCCCAGGAAGCCTCGCACAGCCCACAGGGGCAAGTGCTGAGTAGCACAAAAGAGACAAAGCTCCCCCAGGTAGCCTCGCACAGACCACAGGGGCAAGTGCTGAGTATCACCACAGAGACAAAGCTCCCCCAGGTAGCCTCGCACAGACTTTAGGGTCAAGTGCTGAGTATCACCACAGAGACAAAGCTCCCCCAGGTAGCCTCTCACAGACCACAGGGGGCAAGTGCTGAGTATCACCACAGAGACAAAGCTCCCCCAGGTAGCCTCGCTCAGACAACAGGGGCAAGTGCTAAGTAGCGCCACAAAGACAAAGCTCCCCGAGGTAGCCTCGCCCCAACCACTGGGGCAAGTGCTGAATAGCACTACAGAGACAAAGCTCCCCCAGGTAGCCTCGCACAGACAACAGGGGCAAGTTTTGAGTGGCAACACAGAGACAAAGCTCCCCCAGGGAGTGTCGCACAGACTCTAGGGGGCAAGTGCTGAGTAGCCCCACAAAGACAAAGCTCCCCCAGGTAGCCTCGCACAGACCACAGTGGAAGATGTTGACTACCTCGCCGGGTATACAGGAGGTCGTGGGTTCTATCACTGGGAGATGTTGACTACCTCGCCTGGTATACAGGAGGTCGTGGGTTCTATCCCTGGGAGATGTTGACTACCTCGCCTGGTCTAGAGGAGGTCGTGGGTTCTATCCCTGGGAGATGTTGACTACCTCGCCTGGTGTACAGGAGGTCGTGGGTTCTACCCCTGGGAGATGTTGACTACCTCGTCTGGTCTACAGGAGGTCGTGGGTTCTATCCCTGGGAGATGATGACTACCTCGCCTGGTCTACAGGAGGTCGTGAGTTCTATCCCTGGGAGATGTTGACTACCTCGCCTGGTCTACAGGAGGTCGTGGGTTCTACCCCTGGGAGATGTTGACTACCTCGCCTGGTGTACAGGAGGTCGTGGGTTCTATCCCTGGGAGATGTTGACTACCTCGCCTGGTCTACAGGAGGTCGTGGGTTCTATCCCTGGGAGATGTTGACTACCTCGCCTGGTGTACAGGAGGTCGTGGGTTCTATCCCTGGGAGATGTTGACTACCTCGCCTGGTGTACAGGAGGTCGTGGGTTCTATCCCTGGGAGATGTTGACTACCTTGCCTGGTCTACAGGAGGTCGTGGGTTCTATCCCTGGGAGATGTTGACTACCTCGCCTGGTCTACAGGAGGTCGTGGGTTCTATCCCTGGGAGATGTTGACTACCTCGCCTGGTCTAAAGGAGGTCGTGGGTTCTATCCCTGGGAGATGTTGACTACCTCGCCTGGTCTACAGGAGGTCGTGGGTTCTTTCCCTGGGAGATGTTGACTACCTCGCCTGGTCTACAGGAGGTCGTGGCTTCTATCCCTGGGAGATGTTGACTACCTCGCCTGGTGTACAGGAGGTCGTGGGTTCTATCCCTGGGAGATGTTGACTACCTCGCCTGGTCTACAGGAGGTCGTGGGTTCTTTCCCTGGGAGATGTTGACTACCTCGCCTGGTGTACAGGAGGTCGTGGGTTCTACCCCTGGGAGATGTTGACTACCTCGTCTGGTCTACAGGTGGTCGTGGGTTCTATCCCTGGGAGATGATGACTACCTCGCCTGGTCTACAGGAGGTCGTGAGTTCTATCCCTGGGAGATGTTGACTACCTCGCCTGATCTACAGGAGGTCGTGGGTTCTACACCTGGGAGATGTTGACTACCTCGCCTGGTGTACAGGAGGTCGTGGGTTCTATCCCTGGGAGATGTTGACTACCTCGCCTGGTCTACAGGAGGTCGTGGGTTCTATCCCTGGGAGATGTTGACTACCTCGCCTGGTGTACAGGAGGTCGTGGGTTCTATCCCTGGGAGATGTTGACTACCTCGCCTGGTCTACAGTAGATCGTGGGTTCTATCCCTGGAAGATGTTGACTACTTCGCCTGGTCTACAGGAGGTCGTGGGTTCTATCCCTGGGAGATGTTGACTACCTCGCCTGGTCTACAGGAGGTCGTGGGTTCTATCCCTGGGAGATGTTGACTACCTCGCCTGGTATACAGGAGGTCGTGGGTTCTATCCCTGGGAGATGTTGACTACCTCGCCTGGTCTACAGGAGGTCGTGGCTTCTATCCCTGGGAGATGTTGACTACCTCGCCTGGTCTACAGGAGGTCGTGGGTTCTATCCCTGGGAGATGTTGACTACCTCGCCTGGCATGCAGGAGGTCGTGGGTTCTACCCCTGGGAGATGTTGACTACCTCGCCTGGTCTACAGGAGGTCGTGGGTTCTATCCCTGGGAGATGTTGACTACCTCGCCTGGTGTACAGGAGGTCGTGGGTTCTATCCCTGGGAGATGTTGACTACCTCGCCTGGTCTACAGGAGGTCGTGGGTTCTATCCCTGGGAGATGTTGACTACCTCGCCTGGTCTGCAGGAGGTCGTGGGTTCTACCCCTGGGAGATGTTGACTACCTCACCTGGTATACAGGAGGTCGTGGGTTCTATCCCTGGGAGATGTTGACTACCTCGCCTGGTGTACAGGAGGTCG